ATTTTCACGATATATCTTTCGATTAGAGTGTCAGGATGAAAGCCTCTAATTGTGTTATAAAAATGAATAATTGATATGATTGATCCAATCCAATTGAAGGAATTCCGAAACTTCACCGCTTCGAATTATTGATTTTAATTTCACGTTCCAACATTGAATTTTATTACACATTTGAGAGAACAATTCAGCATTTTTGATCCTTTAAATATTCTTTCATTTCCCTGTGGATACGACACCCCAAAGCTGTGCTATAACTACCGCGTTATTCTTTGGGCGTAATCAGTTCTTACCCACGATTTTTTTTCTCGTATCTTGAATGGTAGGACGGACCTGACCATTACCCAATTTTATAGCTTATGAGATCTCATTTTTGGTATTTCAAGAGTTTCCACTTGATATGTAGGATAAGAGAGGATTCATCAAAATAGCGACGAGGTTTATGAAGATACACTGATTGCATTGAATGGGTAGTGAATCGCCGTTTGATTTCTGTCTGGGTGAAGCTCTATACTAATTTGGTGTATAATTTACCGCGGCTTCATTTTCGTTCTTCCAAAATCTTCATGCCAGTTGCCAATAAACGTAGACTGGGAGTTGTCATACCACCAAAGGTGGCATCTAACCTCATTACAAAATCTAGCAACAAGCTCAATTTGATTAGTCATGTGAGCATGGCTTCTCCAATTCGTTGTACTTCGATATCATTACGTGAGAGGAGGAAATGACTGTTATCATGAATTTTTAATGTAAACAGCCATCAGGAGCAGACGTTGATCTGATTGAAGATAAACATGAGGTAACAAAGAACATCATTCAAATTACAAGTGGTACTATAGAGCAAGCAGAGAGAGCTTAGAGCTTGCTTCAAGAATTTATTTGGAATGGTAAGTCTTTCTCTCTCTCTCTATCCCTGCCTTGCTCACCGTTCCAGTCTCCCATAGAAGAAAAAAGAAGAACCATGAATAAATTTGCATCTGTGTGCAAAGTTCAATGAATATATTTTTGTGCATTAATGTGTTATCCCCTACTTTTTCAGCAGAGGAAGATGGTCCATAGGCAATATAGAGACCTGCGTGGCTCCACAAAAACCAGCAATGAACCTTGCAGTGGATCACTGCCCGCGTTTCCAAAGCAAGCCTCACAGTAAGAATGTGGATAATGAAACTAATAACCATGTAAGAGTAGTCCCTAAGAAAGCTTATATTAATTTTGTTTGCATTCCTAAACATGTCGAATTTTCTGCCTTTCATCTTTTTTTGGAGTTATCTTATCCATTTGTGGAATTACATGATCGTATTTGAAAGAAGACAGTTGAGTATTGTGTTTGAGATCTTCTAAGCTTGTTTGATTTGCAGCCCTGTTGAGTTAATGCGGCTGGGGAAGGAAAGGGGTGTGGTGTGGTGGAGGTGGATAATGTTGACTAGATTATTTATTGACGAAACAAAAGCTTTTTAAACGAAAATTTTTGCAGTTACTCTTTTTCACTTTGACAGTGACAATAGGTCTTTTAAAAATAATTGACATAATTTATCTACATATCTTGTCCAACGACGAACCCAACACCCCGCCATGGGGTGATGCCATGCGTGCTGGGCTCCGTCGGAGCAATTTGGAGAAGATGGACAGGCGTCGGCAAGGGTTTTGCAGCCTGGTTTGTCATCTTCAGTTCTTCGACCCCCTTCCCCCCTCCTTTTTTTTATTTTGTAATTGGCTGGGCCATTTGTTTTCCATCTCAATCCTTAATTATATAATATATAGGCCCAAATCCAATTTCCCCAATTCCCCAATTCAATTCCAAATCAATTAATCAATCATTTCTTGGCGACGAGACGGCATTCTTCAGCTTCTCCTGCTTGTCGTTGCCGGTGAATCGCCATTCATCCACCACCACAATCTAGCCAACCCGCCGTGCCCATGCCAGAAGCTCCTGTGAACCGCTGCAGCCTTCCTTTAATGCCGACGTCGTGAGGTGTAGAACCATGAGTTTTCTGTTTTATGTATTTTATTTTTTATTTTTTGATTTTGGTGTTATTTTCTATTTATGAGTTATGAAATCATGATTTATGTAACTATGTTGTATCATGTATTATACATGAGGTAGGAATTGGAATTTGGTTGGGAAATTGAAATAATGAATTTATTGACACTTTTCACTTTTAGTTCACTGATTTTGATTTGAAATGAGAAATTAGTTGTATCTATTTCATAAATTTGAAATGAGATTATGAGAAGTTAGTTGTATCATATGAGATTATGAGAAATTAATTCACTTATTTATGTTGCACACTTGCACTATTGTTTGAATTACGAATTTTAATTTAGGGTTTAAGGTGATTAAGTTGTGATTTGGCCCATTTGCCATTTGGGAATTATGATCTCAATTCTCAATTCAAATAATGTGTACTCTATTTTTTTTAATCAATTGAGCTAGAAAAATAAACTGGGGCATTTTGCAATTGTAGATCATGAAACGATTTTTTCAACCGAAATGGAAGTCCATACATATTTTTTCTAGTTCTAGTGGTGAATCTAGTCCCGCTATTGCTTCTAGTCGAGCAGTCGATGTGTTAAATAACACAAAAAAGTGTCGAGCTCAATTCAATTTGGATGATCTTGTATCTAATCCAGGGAAACGCCACCTATTGAGTCATTTGATCCTAATATCAGAGATGATGTTAGAATGACATACTTAGAGAAAGGTCCTTGTCAACTACATGGATATGACTTTCCAAGAAGATGGATGGGAAGTGATAACAGGTGTTTTCGAAAAGAATGGTTCGCTAAATTTGATTGGTTGGAGTACAGTATTGAAAAAGATGCAGTGTATTATTTGTATTGCTACTTGTTCAAACCGGATAGAGGGGGTCAAGGGGTGGACATATATTCATTAAGACCGACTTTAGGGATTGGAAGTACAAAAAGACATCGAAAGATCATGTCGGTCCCTTTGATAGTACTCATCATCAAGCTTTAGTAAAGTATACCAACTTGATGAATCAAAAGCAAAGTATCTCCTACGTTATTTCTAGCCAATACAGAGGTCAACAAAAAAAAATTATAGGACGAGATTGGCTGCGGTGTTAGATTGTACTAGATTCATCTTGATGCAATGATTGGCATTTCGTGGTCATGATGAATCCAAAGAGTTTCTTAATAGAAGAAATCTAATTGAGCTACTAGGCTGGTATGCAGCTCATTGTGAGGAAGTTAAACAAGTATTATTCAATAATGCTACCGAAAATGACCAAATGATTTCACCAAAGATCCAAAAGGACTTGGTTAATTGTTGTGTCGTAGAGATAACAATGGCTATTATCAATGAGATGAGTGATTGTTTGTTTTCAATTTTGGTTGATGGGGCTCGTAAAAATTCTATAAAAGAACAAATAGCAGTTGTTTTGAGGTATATTAACCAAACTGGGCACGTAAATGAGCGTTTTTTGGGCATTACCCACGTCAGTGATACTTGTGCCCAATCGCTTAAGGATGCAATTGATGCAATGTTTTCTATGCATGGGTTGAGTATATCTAGCTTGAAAGGTCAAGGTTATGATGGAGCAAGCAATATGTCAGGTGAGTTCAATGGCTTGAAAGTTTTAATTTTAAGAGAGAACCCATATACTATATATGTTCATTGCTTTGCTCACCAACTTCAGTTGGCAATTGTTTATGTGGCACGTAGGAAAGATATGCTTGGTGATTTATTTAACATACTTGTTGTTATTGTGAATTTGGTTGGTGCATCATGTAAGCTTGTAGATATGTTATGGTTGGAGCTCAAGTTCAACCAAAACCAATTAAATTACACTCAAAATCACCATACAATTGAATATAATTAGCCAGGAATCAATAACCAACTCAATTTCAGAGAAAATCAGTTAGTTTCCAACCAAAATCAACACATTCATTTCATTAATAGAGGATTCTATTACAATGCAGGGGATTACAATCAAAAGACAAATATAAAAAGAAAGAGAGAAACCAGTAGAGGAAGAACAAGAACAGCAGAAAAAAATGAAAAGAACTGAAGACACAGAGGAGAAACTTAGCACGAGAAATATGGGAGAAGAAAAATACTAGAAGTAGAAGAAGGAAGATAGTAAGAGAATGGAACATAGCAAGAAGAAGAAGAACCGAGAAGAGGATGGAAGAAGACTGGCTCATGCCCTAGTTCAATTCATCGATTCCTTTCCAAATGCAAAGATACCATTACATATAGACCCAAAAAACAAGGGCTTTGAGCTAGCCCACTAACAATACAAGCCCAATTAGACCAAATAAAGGTAAATGGTCCAATAAACAAGAGTAATGACATCCTTTCCCCTTAGAATAACCTTGTCCCCAAGGAAAATGCAAAGATACCATTACATATAGACCCAAAAAACAAGGGCTTTGAGCTAGCCCACTAACAATACTAGCCCAATTATATCAAATAAAGGTAAATGGTCCAATAACCAGGAGTCCATAACATCCTTTCCCCTTAAATTAACATTGTCCTCAAAGTTCAAAATCAGAATGTCTTCTTTGTATGTTGTTTGCCGTTGCCTCATTCTCTTCACTATCCTTGGATTAAGCAAGTAGTGCAAAGCAACATATGCTTGGTTGACATTATGTGCCCCACCTTCAACCAGCATGCCCAACAACCTTCGGATAGAAGTGGCCGATATACTGTTGCCCAATCATGATCAATTGAACTAAAGAAGAGTGCAGAACGGAAGCATTTTGCATTAATTATTTCGGTAAAATCTTTTCCTGTAAGATGGTTGCCAGTAAGAACTACAATAGCTTGAAAAGTAGATATATGTAGCTGAATCGTGGTAGCAAAGTTGCAACCCACTTCATCTCTATTTTTCTGACAATGAGAGTGGACACTTGTACATTAAGATACCAGTACATATAGACCCAAACAACTAGTGCTTTGGGCTAGCCCTCTAACAATACAAGCCCAATTAGATCAAATAAAGGTAAATGGTCCAATAAGCAGGAGTCTATAACATCCTTTCCCCTTAAATTAACATTGTCCTCAAAGTTCAAAATCAGAATGTCTTCTTTGTATGTTGTTTGCCGTTGCCTCATTCTCTTCACTATCCTTGGATTAAGCAAGTAGTGCAAAGCAACATAAGCTTGGTTGACATTATGTGCCCCACCTTCAACCAGCATGCCCAACAACCTTCGGATAGAAGTGGCCGATATACTGTTGCCCAATCATGATCAATTGAACTAAAGAAGAGTGCAGAACGGAAGCATTCTGCATTAATTATTTCGGTAAAATCTTTTCCTGTAAGATGGTTGCCAGTAAGAACTACAATGGCTTGAAAAGTAGATATATGTAGCTGAATCGCGGTAGCAAAGTTGCAACCCACTTCATCTCTATTTTTCTGACAATGAGAGTGGACACTTGTACATTTAAGAGCCCACTCTGTGAACTTCTCTACCTTGGCACCACCTTCTGCCTTTAGAACTTCATCTCCATTACATTCTAGTAGTCATTCAAGTGGAGCTTCCCTAGAAAAATCACATCCCGCTTCTTTTCCCTTCGACCTTCGGAGCATTAATAACTCCAGCCTCTTTTTCATGATGATTACCATTGCTAAGATTCGGATCTCCAATTTCATCAGTTTCCATTTCCATATCTTCAAGGAGTAGAAATAAAAGTCGTTTACATCTACAAACCTCACTTGAAAACATGTCCCAATCAGCATTGGGATGGTTGAAGATGAAGCCATGAAACCATATGTACGCTTTTCCAGTCAAATACATCTCAGCTATTCCCACCCTCATTTCATTAGCTACTTGATGTAACTGGAAATATTTTTGGGCTTCTCTCAACCACTAGGACATTCTCCTCCAAAAAAAGGAAAATCTATTTTGAGTAATTTAGTATTCATCCTAGCCTCTCTAGCTTCTAGTGTATTTCCAAAGTGATGGTCACCTTCCATAGGACTACCACTACTAATTTGATATGGAGTACCATAACCTTCAACTTGTTTTTCCTTGTGGTTTGCCCTACTCCCAATTATTTCACCCATCATAGACACTATAGATTCATATTTAATGTTCATTCCCATCATCAATTGCTCCATCGTGTCTTGCTTGGTACATACAACTTCTAACTTTTCCTCCCAGGATTTTGCAACCACACCTATATCTGATACTTTCATGTCTAACATTTTCAGATGACCTTCATTTGACTTGCTCCTAGTTTCAACCATACCCATATCACGTTGCTACTCTAATACCATTTGTTATGGTTGGGGCTCAAGTTCAAGCAAAACCAATTAAATTCCACTCAAAATCATCATACAATTGAATATAATTAGCTAGGAATCAATAACCAACTCAACTTCAGAGAAAACCAGTTAGTTTCCAACCAAAATCAACACATTCATTTCATTAATGGATGATTCTATTGCAATGTAGGGGATTACAATCAAAAGACAAATATAAAAAGAAATAGAGAAACCAGTAGAGGAAGAACGAGAAAAGCAGAAGAAAAGGGGAAGAACTGAAGGCGTGGAGAAGGAACTCAGCATGAGAAACATGGAAGAAGAAGAATACCAGACAACAGAAGAAGGAAGACAGCAGGAGAATGGAACACAACAAGAAGAAGAAGAACCGAGAAGAAGAGGGAAGAAGACTGGTTGCACGCCCTAGTTCAATTCATCGATTCCTTTCAAAATGCAGAGATGCCACTACATATAGACCCAAACAACAAGGGCTTTGGGTTAGCCCACTAACAATACAAGCCCAATTAGATCAAATAAAGGTAAATGGTCCAATAAACAGGAGTCCATGGCAAGATTCTCTTTGAGCAAGTTACCATGTCAATATTTTGGAGAAGCTTAATGTTGGGGAACTTTGTGGTGGGAGTAATAAGTTTCAAGAAATGAGTTTGGCAAACCCAGGTGATATTAGATGGGCTCACACCTATTGACAATTAGTCTTCTTATTAATATGTTTAATGCTATCATAGATGTTCTTGGGAATATATCAGAAGATGGCGTAAATTCAAATGAAAAATCAATGTCCATAAGACATATGGACAATATGCAAGATTTAGCTTTGTGGTGGGAGTGGTAAGGTTCAAGAAATGAGTTTGGCACGCCCAGGTGATACTAGATGGGGCTCACACCTACTGACAAGTACTCGTGTTATTAATATGTTTAATGCTAGCATAGATGTTCTTGAGGATATATCAGAAGATGACGTAAATTCATATAAGAGATCAATGGCCACAAGACACATGAACATTATGTAGGATGTTTATGAATTTTCGACACTATAAAGAAATAACGAATCTCGTAAAATGGTCGAGATGACCGATATGTACAGGATGTTTATAGTTTTTTGTAGAAACTAATGTTCTATTCAAGTACGCCACTATGAAATCTAGTAATATGCAAAATGCAATTTTGAGGTTCTATTTAAATTAAGCAAAAATTACATGAAGACAACGAATATGAACAACTCTATTGAAAAATTAATTATTATGCTTTAAAGAAAGAGTTGGTGCATTAAATTTTTTAGATAAATTAATAATTAAAAAAGAAAAAAGCAAAGCAAAGCAAAGATTGTCTTTGCCCCTATTTTACGATCATTATTTGAAAACTCTTTTTGTTATATACTTATTTCCAATCAAACATTCACAGAATAAAATATTTTGAATGTAAATCCAAAATTTTTCCCTAATTTTGAACACAGTCTCCTAAAAATCACTATTAAAAACAATATTTTTTGAAAATAATTCCTATTCGATTTCATTTGTTCTTACTTGTACTCAATTTGAAACCAAATAGAAATAAGAAAGAGTTAGCTATGTATGGAATTCATCTATAATATATTAAAATATCACATCAAATGAGAATTATTTTTTGGACGATTTTAACCTACTACAATTTAATTATTTCAATAATACCTTACTTTTCGTTTATCAATATGTAATAAATATTACTAAATCCTTGTCATGTATTGATTTCGTGTTATTAGTTCTCAATTAATTAAAATTCACATTAATTTAAATTCAATGAATGACTGGCCTCTCAACGGAGCCCAATTTATCAAGACACAAAAGGGTCCAAACTATTCTATGAGTAATCTCACTAAAATTGTAAAATGTATTATTGACTTGATGAATCTTGATCTACATGAATCTAGAGTTATAGTAGATAAATTTATTTCTATTCATGTATTCACAATTAATTATCATGTATTAATTTCGTGTTATTAATTCTCAATTAATTAACATTTATATTGATTTAGGATCAATGAATCTTGATCTACGTGAAGTAGAGTTATTGTAGATGAATTTATTTATATTCATATATCTAGGAATTTTAATGGGTGATCAAATTCATATATTAACAATTAATTCTTATATATCAAATTTATTGTAAAAATGTTACTCATTTGTAGTATTTCATCGTCACAAAAAATTAAATCATAGAAGTTTAATTTTGAGAGTATATTTTTTTTTATCTTAATTCCCAAATTTTATTTTCTTTAGTTCGTCCGAGACTCCTCGAATTCTCTCAACAAATTGATATCAAATATTACTTTTACGGTACTTATAAAGTATTTCAGAATAACGTGCAATGGACGTTCAATTTTGACTAGTTGGGCAAACGTCCCGACGTTTCATTTTTTTTATTTTCACTCATATTTCAACATTTCAATGCGGAAACGAAAAATCATCATTTTCATTCAATTTCTCAATAAAAAGTTATGAAATGACAATTATACCCTCATATTTAAATAAAACAAAAAAAAAAAGAAAAGAAAAATAAAAAAACTAATTATAACCATACTCCAATTTTTTTTAAAAAAATACAAACGAATACTAAATAAATTATTAAAAATTAAAAAATTAAAACAATTTCTCTTTTCTTTCTTTCTCTTCTTCTTCTTCTTCCTCCTCAATCACAACCACGACGATCCCCAATGATCATGTTTGCTACTAAATGAATAGGATGGAGTTGTAAATGCCAAAAATAGATTGAGAACATATTTTCTAGTTTAGGGAATAAAGCTGCAATTTCGCCTCATGTTTTTTAAGACTAGTTTTCCCTTGGATTTATACAAGAAAATGCAGTGTCACATGGAATGAACTAGTCTAGCTAATAGAAATACATAGAAGTGTATAAACTAGAGTAACAAAGGGTGGATGAGTAGGTGGGTACGTTGCATGTATCCAGGCAAAGTATAGAGCCTTGCCAAGCTTAATTACCAAATAAATGACTCTACTATTAAGCACCAAGATATAAATAGAGTTGAAATTGTATATAGAGTTTCTAGTGAAGTTGAGTGAGGAATAGTGCCTGCAATTGGTGTCGTTATAGTGTTGGAGTTGCCGATGAAATTGTAGTGTTGGATGGTGGGGTAGTAGTGGTTCCTGACGGTGCTCCGCCTCCAACTGAAGCTACAACAGTGACGTGAAGTTTCATTCCACCACTACAATGGCCAGGCACACAACAAATGAAGTAATGCTTACCGGCAATTTTAAGTGTGATTGAGGTTGAATTGGTGCTTTTTTTAGTGAGGTGGGTTGGTTGAGTGGTGGTGGAGGAGGAGGAAGAAGAAGAAGAGAAAGAGAAAGAGAAAGAAAAGAGTTTTTTTTAATAATTAATTTGGAACTCATTTGCATTTTTTAAAAAAGTTTTGAAGTATGACTGCAATTATATTCGTCATTTCAAAGTTTTTTATTGAGAAATTGGATAAAAATGATGATTTTCGCAATAAAATATTGAAATATGGGTGAAAATGTAAAAAATACAATGTTGGAACGTTTTGCACAATGAAGTCCATACGTAGGGATGTTTTGTGCTAATAACTCAAATAAAAAAGTACACAAAGTTTGAATTTTTTTTATAAATAAAATTATTTGGGCCCACGTAATATTCGAGTCCACCTACTTACAAGAATGGGAACCTAATAAATTTTAAACGGGGTATTAGCACAAAACGTACCTACGCTTGACGTTCAGTATGCGAACCATCCTTACATTTCAATTTTTTTGCATTTTCACCTATATTTCCACATTTCATTGTCGAATTCGTCATTTTCATCAATTTTCATTTATTTTCTAAAAATTGTAAAATGACAAATATACCCTACTATTTAAATAAAATAAAAAGATAAGATAAGAAAAATAAAGAATAAATTGCAACTATACTCCCAAAATTTTCAATAAAATACAAATAAATCTCAAATAAATAATTGAAAAATCAAAAATTAAAAAAACAAAATACTTTCTTTCCTCTTTTCTCTTCCACCACCTCCATTCATCGTCGCCGCCGTCACCTTCACCACCATGAAACCAACAATCAACTGTGTGAAAGATGTGAAGTTGGGTATTGTATAACCCCACCATTCAACTAGCTATGCACACGGTTTGTGGTTATTTTTTATCTGAAAATTGAATCAATTGGGAGGATAATTTGAACAACTAGATCATTACCCACTGTCGATTGGGGCTGTTGGAGGTTCAACTGAGGCCAATTTGCATCACCAGTACTTTAGGCGACAGGAATTGAAGGAGGTAGATTTGGTTCTTCGTGCATAACGATTGTAAAAAAGAAAAAAAAAATCTAAGGCACATCAGATTGATTGGAGGTTGTTTTGATTGATGTTTGACCATGGTTTAGGTCGTCTTGATAAGGGGAACCTATTCGTGGTAGGTCACAATCGTGAAAGTCACCGAAAGCCATGGTGCCGCCGAGTTTAGTGTTTGTGAGTTGGAGGTATTGGCTGCCAATTGCAGTCAGGTCTTGTGGGATTTGAGGCAGGTTGGTCTATTGTGACGGTGGAAT